GCGGGGTATCCGACGGGGGCACAAAAGTTTTTGGCCTTGGCGGTTGGAACAGCTTCCGGTACTCCTGATTTTGTCGAGGAGCCCCATGTCGAACACGAACCTTGGGACTGGTGGTCTGACCGACTCGAATCTTTCTGCCGCTTTCTGGTCGAACACAACATGGCATCTGGGACAAATGACAGCTTTAAAGCCGCTAACTTTGCATTTTTCTTGAAACTCGGCTAAGCTTTCCCCAACCTGAGGGTAGATTCCCTCAAAGACCCTTTCTGCTTTCTTGTCGGAGCCCTCTATAGCCTCGACCATCAGGCATTCGAGCGTCGGGGTTGTCATCTGCTCTTCAAGGTCCTCAGTAGCCTCGATTATCATGCATTCCGCCACTTCAGAGTACAATGCTTCTTCAATCTTTAGAGGGTCTGTGTCCACTTATATCTTTGGTCTTTCACCAAACTGGAGTCGTCCTTCTTTCAAAGCTTTCAGCACCAAATCCCTGAAAAGAACACATTGAGCTATTTTATGACCAAGAAAATTATGAAATTTGCAAAATCCCCTCTTTTTCTTTTGTTCTAGAGGGGGTCTTTTGTCCCAACCGGGACGACAATTTGACCATCTTTGACCAACAAATCAAATATCTCGTCGCATTTGAATACATCGAAAGAGTATGTTTTCGCAACATATTTGTATGTTTTTTCCGTATCGACCAGATTCTTTCCGTTCGACGACTTTAGGACTCTGCACGCATATGAGGGCCCAGGTTTTAATTCGGCCACATTTACGAAATTTTCTTCGACGAACTCCTCTTCGTCAGATGAATATTCGTCGGTGGTCACAAACACAACCTTTTCTTTATTATGATATCGACTAGCCTGAGATTTCTCACTCCTCAAACGTTCGACATGTCGGACGCGGTCGGCCAATTGTGCCATATCCCTAAGGTATTATGTGTCTAGCTTTTTCCTAATAGAATAGTCTAAACCTCATGTGACCATTTCAACCACTTCGTGTTCAGGGACTTGTGTAAAGCATCGCGCCTTCAATAGTCTGAACTTGTTCAGATACTAGTCTGCAGACTCCGCTGTCATTCGTTTTACGCTAGCTAGTTCTTTCAAACTGATCTTTGATTGTCCAATGTAAAATTTCCCGTGAAACAATCTTTCTAACTGTGTCCACGTATGGACTGACTGTGGGGGCAACAAGGTGAACCACATGAACGCGTTCTTGGTTAGGGAACTAGGAAAATATTTCATTTTCAAGTCTTCATTATTTGCTATGTCCCCAGCTTCGGTCTGATACCTAGTGACGTGTTCGAAGGTGGACTCCTCCATTTCACTTGCAAACTTGGTGAACTTTGGCACCTTGCATCCCCTTGGCAACTCTATTTGCAAAATGAAGTCTGGTAGAGGAGACGTGTAGGTGGGTCGTCGAAGGCTTGGGTTCGCACCGTTGTGAACCATAATACACTCGACCATGGCCTCTAGATTAGCTTCTCCCCCTGGGTTCTCGTTCCTAACTTGTCTGACCACGTAGTTTGGGTCTTGGTTCCGGTGAACCATCATAATGGGGGGCTTTTAGGCTACCCTGGGTATATGTTCGTACTCAGGGGCCTGTAGGTGGTTTGTTTCTTCGACAGGGTCATTCTGTCGGACAGGCGTGTCAAGACGATTGGGAGGTGTTTGTCTTCCTGTAGCCCTGGGAGACCCCAATAAGTCTCCTATTTGTGTCATCTGAGTTTCCCATTGCTGGTAACTCTGAGTCGAATCTTGTATTAATGGTCTCAGAATCGTGCCCATTTGTTGGGTCAGCATATGTACCATCTCGTGATTGCTTTCGTCCATCTGTTGTCGCATAACCATGACGGAACTGTTGGTAAAAACTGGTATTATGGTGGGAAGTGATCCAAAACCTGGTGGCCTTCCCCCCTGCTGGGTCACAGGCCCTAGGTTTCGATATGGCGAGAATGCTGACGAGGAATTCTCTCCTGTGTCTAGCCCACTATAGCGTAACGTTGACATAAACTTTGTCGGCATTCCTAAGTGTTGGGGTGTCGGCATAGTAAAACTGGGCAAGTATTTCTTTTTGACTCCCGTCGTCGCTGGTCTTGCCTCAGGTCGACGCGGAGTCGTGAACGGTCTGCTATGTGCGGTCAAAGTTACTGTTGTGGATTCAGTGCTTACAACCGTCACCGGTGGTAAGACCGAATTTTCCTGTGAAGACGATTCTTCGTTCTGTCGTGGCGTTACCATCTTTCCACTGCGTAAACGCATATACCCAAACCTTCGATGTCCCACTAGGCGTGCCAATTTATTCGCACGTGTTTTTCGGGCAGACAACCTCTGACCTCCTGACGCAAGTTTGCTTGCGAGGCCGGTCAAACTAGTCTCAGGACTCTGGTTCTGGGTATGTCGATTACTTAGGATTTGTGATGCACTCGACAGTTTGTGTTTTTTACGGTGTATATGATGAAATTTAAACAAGACAATAATGCTTTTAGTAAGACAAAGAAATATTAGAAAAATGACATAAAAGTAAAGGCATTGTTTTCATAACATAAAGACTTGGTAAAGTCAACGTAAAAGAGAAAAGTACAAATGGGCGTGTTCGTACATTTTGTAAGGAAAGGGGAACTCTTTTCTCTCAATGTGTGGTACTCAGAGTGTTTTTCTTAAAATGTTGACAAAAAACACCTCTCTCTTCAAACCAGGCTTTGCTTTATATAGGCAAATAAAATAACCGTCAGATCGCTTCTGGTGCCGCCACGTGTAGGGCCACTACTTTCCTAACTTCCCCATGTTCCCTTTTTTCAAAGCTATTTCCCGCCAGACAACAAAACCCCTTTGTCAGGTGTGCCAATTGTTATCTTGGTCGACCAGCCCATGTCTCCGTCGACCACGCACCTTTTAATGTGTTGTCGACTTAGGCTGCTGGCTTTTCCCAACCAAAGAATACTGTCGGTTTAGGACGATTCTTCATATTTTCTGTCGATGTCGATCTCTTGCTGTCGATATTTTTTAGTTGGCTCTTTTTCAGCCAACAGATACCAGATGTTAGAATCAAATGCTAAAAACTTAATTGAATAAGAAAAGGCCAATAAATAGGCTTACACAATATCACACCATCTCCCTAATTATCCATTATAAGTGGAGCCGTTTATTCCTTCCTAAAATCTACGAACTGACTTTCCTTCAAATAATAAAATAGCTAACAATAAACTGACTTTCCTAAAATGTAGAGAGATTTTTGTTTAAGAACAGGGACGGATCTAGGTTATACTAATTAGGGGCACTTGCCCCCACTAGTTTATTTATTTTATATTAAACAATTAATTATTTTAGTTTTATTTTTCTTAAAAATTAAATATTGCCCCCATAAAATGAATTAATTAATTTTAATTATAAATAATTAAATAAAAAATAATGTAAAAGATAAGTTGTTAAAATATTATTTGACCACGTAAACATAAATATATATGTAATAATATTGAAAAAAATAATTATTCTAAATATCTAACTTAAAGATTAATTTGTTATTTGAATAATTATTATATATTTATTTTATTTTTTTTTAATTTTTTGATGTAGTACTCTAATGGTAACAATAATTAAATTCACAAGATAAATATATATTTATTTTAACAAATTTTTATACAAAAATTTCTAATATGCGGTATGCAATATTTAAAATATGTGCACTTCCTTCTTCACATAAAAAGTATCTCACTTTTATATTTTTCTATATTTTAAAATAATTATCTTTTAAAAATACGATACAATATTTATTATTATTTTTCTACTACTATTTTTATTATTTATTAATTTTAATTTAATTCAATTATGTTATTTACTACAATGAATACAATAAACGTATTCTAAAAAATAACATTGGTTTTTTTTATTAAAATTAATATATATATATATATATATATATATATATATATATATATATATATATATATATATATATATATATATATATATATATATATATATATATATATATATATATATATATATATATATATATATATATATATATATATATATATATATATATATATATAATTAATTTTCTAATTTTTATGAGATGAAGGAGTATCATGCCCCCACTCATTAGTATTTCTGAATCTGTCCCTACGAAGAATGGTTTGAGTATAAAGCCATACTTACTTTTAGGTAAGAATAAGTAATTTATTATAATATACGGCTTTTGTACAAATTTATCATACAAAAATGGTTAACAACGTGAGATTTTCAGGGAGGCGAGATGTTTATGCTGGCACCATAGAAAATATGCATCTACATTGGAAATATCGTGAGTTGGTGACACGACGACAAGCATTGGCTCGGTCTATGGAGCTTCAAAGACGAGAGGTAATAAAGCAATTACTTCTTGAAAACTGATACGACGACTTGTATCTCACTAAGTTTTTTCTATTTTTTCAGGTACTAAAACATCATATCTCAGATTTACAAGAGATGATTGACTTGCTCAAATCTGAGCTTGTGAGATGTTTATGACTTCTATACAACTCTGCTGTAATTATTTTTGGATAGTTAATAAGTTCGTTTCTGTGATTAATTGCATGATCAATTCAGTTTCATAGATGGAAAACACTACCACTTGACATTACTTCAAAATCTCAAATGGTACAATAACTAGGATTCCCCAAGTCCACAACCTTCTCACACTAAATATACATTGAATAGATTACTCGTACATTACATCATAAATAAAGATGATAAGATTGCTACATTAAAAACAAATAACTAAGCAAAAGCACATACTACTGTCGCGGCACACCGTGATTCTCCCATGAGCAGAGTTCTGAAATTTACCACCATGGACAACTTTATTAGGGACCTGGAAAAAGCAAGTTTGTCACTAGGAGCTCTTTCAAATTTTAGTGTACTCAAGATGAAAAATCACCATTTATTTTAGGAAATGCTAATATTTTTCAGAAGTATAGAAAAAGTTAATATGCAGGCTAAGGTAGTACCTGGCTGGCATTAAATTTGTTCCTTGGCAAAAGTTTCCTTCATAAAATCAACCACAACTGAGGCTATCTCAGCTAAATGATCAGTATATACATGATCAGCTCCTTCTACTATATGCAACTTATGATTAGGTAAGATATTTGCAAATTCAAATGCATCTCCAACAGGAATTATTGCGTCAGCATCACCATGAACAGTTAGGAACCTGTCACGTATATATTATGAGACTCTACATTATCTCTTTCACTAAATAATAAGAGAATGAATCAAAATAAGCAATTCTACAACATATTATCAACAATACAAGCTCTTCAGTCTCTCAAAATTATTTTTGCTGTAATTTTACCATAAATTATGGAAGCAATAGAAACTCAGAGACAACAAAAATTATAAGTAATGCATGAAAATCTATACTGATTCCATAGATCAGTGTAGATTTTAGCAATGAAGCTCTGTTTTAGTGAAGATGAAAGGGTGAAACTGAAAAGGAAAGGTGAACTGTCAAACACTTTTTTACTCACCTGCATTCTTTGTCAATTTGCATGCATGTTTCGTGCATATTTATGCTTAACCGATCCTTCAAACTTTCCTCTGTTATACGATAATCAACACTTCCTACAAAAGAAGATCGATGCCATATCCTCAATCAAGAACTGAAAACAACAATTTTTTAAAGAAAATAGTTCAGTAGCCTTAGAACAAGAGTGTAGAATAAAACAAATCAATGAAAGATTCTGGACTAGCTCAATTCAGTAAATTCATGCAAAAGCAATTATAAAAAGTTCAAAGTAGAGGAACAAACAAGTTATATGAATCCTGAATTTCTTGAAACCAACTCTCAAATACATTCTTCTACACTAGTTTATGTATTTGAACGGAACACATGGCTGATTAAATGGACGATTACCTGACTTAGTCTTCAACTCAATGAATCCTTCCTTTCTAATTCTCTCCATAAAATTCTTTCCGAGAATATTTTCAAGGCCTGCCTTCAGATCATAGCGACCAGAGAGGTTGACGACTGTTTTAATATCATGATACTTTGAAGCATAAAGAAGCACTGCACTAGCTCCTGCCCAAAGATTCAGAAACTATTCATAACAGTTTCAACATACCTACAGACCTATGAAACACTGACACCATAAACAGATACGTCGACTCGACACTGATAATAATTCAAAATAATGTTATATCTGAATATAATCTCATGTGCCGGTGTCTTATCGGACACTGGGCAAGCCTAGAAATAGGCAAAACCAATGTAACACAACAAACCTTTACTGTGTCCAATAATTGCCATAACTCTACGGTTTGCTTCATGAAAGTGTTGAGCTACCGAATGTAAATCATCAACCTCCCTCCAGTAGATGCCAAATTCAAATGAACCTTCACTTTCCCTGGAAGGAAAACTCAAACGATAAATCAAAATGAAGCAGTTAAACAACATTAGTGGTTGAGATTATGCCAAACAGAAATCAAATTTTGAATAGAATATAAAATAGTTATAGACTAATGATGAGTTGTTTTCAGGTAAAGAATTATAATCTTCTATTGAAAATTGATACATATATATTCAAACAATGTAACATAACTTCGAGTAATAACTAATTAGCATAATATTTGGTGGCATCGCGTAACACTTTTAAAACTATTTATCAATGTTAAAATACAAAAATATTCAGCATCGGCTTCTATGAATCACATGCATAGCAATCATTGTCACCTCACATATTTTGAAGGTCAAGATTACATCAAGGCATAAATATGAACAAAATTCATGGTTTTGTTCTGTATTACACAAAACTTACCCATTTCCAGTGAAGTCAAAGCGGAAAGAACTGATTCCAGCATTCTCTAGAGCAGCAGCAAGCTGTGTCATGATAATATCTTCCTGAAGATTGAAAAACATAATTCAACAATAGTTTGCATAATACTAAATATAAATAGTGGATTCATAATCGATAAACCACGGAAACTAACCTTAGAAGCTTGAAGACCATGGCATAGAATAACAATCTCTTTGGTTCCAGCTTCATGTAATATGCCTACTAGTTTATTGCCATACTTATTGGGTATAATGACTTTCTCCTGCTGGAACGCTGAGAAAATAATTCAAAAGTTTAAGTGTGTGTTTAGATCTGCAATGAAGAAAATTGATTTCGAATGAATTTATTCTGTAAAATTGATTATGGCTAAACGTGAGTCTAAGATAAAGTGATTTATGTTTGGATAGATTTATGTAAAAGTGAGTTGAACAATAAATTTCAATCACGTTTAGACTAAGAAGGTACAAATCATATCTTAAAGTAGAATCGAAAACCACAATCAATTCTACCGGAGAGCAACCAAACATGTCAAAATCAATTCTACACATCCATAATCAATTTTGAACATGAAACCAAACATACAGTAAGTCAGTTTCTTTGAAATTGATTGAACATTCAATATGCTACTTCGGTAAATAATTGTGACTCAAATAAGCATAAGCTTAAATAAGTTAATCCACATAAACCCTAAATGTGAAGCTTCTAAAATAACATACTTTCAACTAGAATCTAATAATTTAGCCAGTAAACGATTTCACCATGAATTTTACTCCAGACAAGTTGTAAACAAAATATAGAACTTAAAAGCATTCACCAATAGCATCAAAAGAAATAACTCACGAGGATTCTGTGAAGATTGGGCCATCTTCAAATTATCGACTTTCCAATTCCAGAGGATAGAAAGGCAAAGCGGATCAAAATAAAGTGAAATCGCGGAGAATAATTGAAATGGTCGGAACGCTTTTGGATTTTTTCCTTATATCTTACCTCTCTCTTTCATTAGTTTGTTTTTTATCTTTTTCTTATATTTTATTTTTCTTTTTAATATATAATATTTTGCTATTTATGTTTTATCTTGTAGTTGTTGGAAGATACCCAAAGGAAAAAAGAACTGCCACCGCCCACCAATTTCTTGAGAGAAAGGAAAGCTAGTTCTTACTGATATCCCTCCTTCCAAGTTCTTACTGTTTTGGAGGTTGGTCCACGGTAAGCTGCCAACGGATGACTTGCTTCAGCTTCGCGGACAGCAGCTCCTCTCAGTTTGCTCCCTCTGCTGGCAGCATGTTGAAAGTTTGTTTCATATCTTCTTTGATTTTTCATTTGTAAAGAAAATTTGGGACTGGTTGGGTGACAGTTTAAATCACAAGATGGTTACTAGTTTGGCGGATTGTATGAAGATTATTGATGATCAACATTCTGCTCAAAGTCATGTGGTGCACATTGTTGGTGTCTTGAACTCCATTGCTTATATTTGGAACGCTTGTAACCGTGTCAGAATTCAAAACAAGCTTCTTCGTTGGAAAACTGTTTGTGCTGAAATTTTGTTCTTTAGTTCTCTTTCGAGCAATATTTTTTGTTGTAGGGCTAGTTCTACTATTAAGGATTTTATCTTGTTTAAAAAGTTCAATGTTACGCTTCATCCGCCCCGTCCTTTGGAATTGAATGAGGTCTTGTGGACGCCGCCCCAACGGGGTTGGATTAAAGTCATTGTTAATGGCTCTTCTGGTGTGTTTCTTGTGCAGGTCACGTGTGGCCGAATTTTCAGTGATGCTACTGGACAGCACCTTGGTAGTTTTGGGTGTTATTTGGGGCCAGTGAATGCAGTTCAGGCCGAGTTTATGGAGGCTATCTTAGCCATAGAGCTCGCTTTTGATAGACACTAGCATAATCTTTTGTTTGAGTCTGATTCCACTTTGGTTGTCTCAGCTTTTGCTAATCCCTCTGTTGTTCCTTGGAGAATTAGAAATAGGTGGAATCTTTGGTTGCCTAGGCTTAGTCATTTTAATGTTTTTGCTTCCCTACATATTTAGGGAAGGTAATCATTGTGCATACTTATTAGCTAACATCGGATTGTCGGTTAACTCGTTTACTTGGTGGAATGAGGTTCGTCCAAAGATCCTTGTAGACTTCAACAAAAACAAGTTAGCTTTACCATACTTTAGATCAAAGTAGGTTTGAGGTCAGGTTTTTTGTCCCCCTCATTTTTGTACCTATTTTCATTTTTATCATGGGCTATTGCCCTTTATTTATAAAAAAAAGGTATAGTTGTTGTTTTTTTCAAAATAGTTTTGCTCAAATTCATCATTTAAAGATGAATAGATTGAATGTCGCGAGTTCGAATTCACGCCGATAGTATTTCTATATAACTACCAATTGAGTTAGTTTAACAAGACATTTTATAATTGTTTTGTAAGGTAGAAAAGGAGGAAAAGGAAGAAAGAAAATATAAAAGCTAATTCAATATGTTGTAAGTGAGCGATAGTCACATCTTTTATATAAGTCATTAAAGGCAAATAGGCTTTGGTCTTTACAAGACCTCGAATTTTTTTTTCTCAAACTGAGTTTGGGGGAAAATTCGGAGTTGATTAGATTATAGGAACTTTCATCGTCCACCAAGGTCTCTAAAGTGAAATGATGGATGGTGGTGGTGGTGGTGGTGACTAGTGGGAAAGCAACATTGGAAATCCCGTCCACCTCCTCTTAATCTCAAAACCCTAAGATTAGTTTATCGTCTTCTCGCTCCTTACTTTAGGGTGCATATTTTTCATATTCCAGAGGAAGATATCTAATTTGTACAAACGAATATGTGTCGATCGTATCTATGGTGAAGGTTGAAAAAGAACTTGATTTGGAAAATTTTGAGATTATGTCTATCTAAACATGATTATTGAGTTGGTTGAGATCTGAATTGGGAAAATATGATTGAGCCAATAGAGATATGATCGAATTAGGGGACTAGCTAGATGAGAGATCCAATCATAGAAATTTGAAGGAGTCCTTTTAGCCTTCATAATAACCTTTTTATTTTTCACCTTTTTCTTTGACTTTTTATCAAACCTTTTACTAATAACAGTATCTTTAGTAATACCTTCACTGACAGAAGAATATCTAACATGAAATCAATTTTTCATATGGATATAACCCTCATAAGCATTGACAGAATCATTCAAAATATCAACAATGTTGTCACTCACATTATTCACAACATCATACACTTCAAAATCAATAGGGGCAACTTTCCCATCCTTCCTCTAAGTTGGAAACTTAGTCACCAACATGTCATATAGGTTGTCTGGCACATCATGGTTGACATCTACGTTGATCTATCTATTGAGGGAGGCATTTTTCATATCCATCTGATAATGAGTGAACATATTACTACAATACAAACTTAGCAACATTCTGATGGCTTCAAGATGAGCAATAGAAGTTGAGTCTTTAACATAGCCTTGTCCTACAAGTTGAGCCTTCTTTCTAGTAACAATCTCATGACTTTTCTTCGTATTATTATTACCAGCCTCAACATGGGCTATAACAAATTCAACCTCAACATCTTCACAGACATGATCATCATCAATCACATAATTATTCTTAAATGTCACATCATCAAAATGAGGAATGTTATGGGGAACAATGTCTAAGACGTGTTTCCTATCATACAACTTATACCTGAGATTCACCACACCAAGAGGAAAACTAATTTCTGCTTCACCCAACATAATACCTTGATTTTGAATAGTGAAAATTCCATAACTATGAGAAGGAACCCTAATATGAAGAATTATGCCATAATTACTAATCTTCTTTACCTTCTTATTTTGAACCACTATTGGTTGTTCAATGTTCGGAGGACCTCCAGCCTGGCCATCAGCCTTCTCTTTAATGACAACTCTTTGTGTGAGTCTCATAAAGTCCATAAGTGGCAATTCAGAAATATGAGTAGGGTGTTAAAGCATCTTGTATGACATCTTGGTTTTCTTCCCAATTTGGCACTCTCCACATATTTTTCCTTCTTCGATCATGAGTTTTGGCAATACCTTGGCAACATATTCAAATATGATATCCTTTATGCTTTTAACTTTGAACGAGGGCTGACAGATCCACTTATAATTGTTGTATTTGGATCTTGAACCCTTCATTGGTACTTCTTGATCTTTGCTAGAGACAACACATTTAGACTTGTTATAGCTAACATTTAGACCTTGATCACATAGTTGACTTATGCTAATTAAGTTAGTAGTTAATCCTTTTACCAACAACACATCATCAAGACAAGGAAAACCTAGACTAACTAGTTTACCTATGCCTTTGATTCTTCCTCTATATCCATTACCAAAGTTAACATAACTATTAAAGTAGGGCTTTAACTCTTCAAAATATATTTTTTTCACCAGTCATGCGCTTTGAGAATTCACTATCAAAATACTAGTCTCTTGATGAAACTCTAAGAGATGTATGAGCTATAAGACAAGTGACATATTCCTTGGGTTTCCAGATCTTCTTGGCTTGAGTTTTCTTCCCATTCTTTCTATTGCGCCTTGGTTGACTATAAGACTTAGGATATCCATACAGTCTATAACAAAAGGGTCTTATATGGTCATATCTTCCACAGTGGTGACACCTCCGAGATGATTTCTTGTTGCCTTTGTTGTGAGGGGACATATGTTGAGCAGGATGCTAGGACATATGGTCCTTTATTAGAAAATCAGTTTTTATTTAGGAGCAACAAACTTCTTATTGGGGAATTTAACCTTTTTGTTCATGGAACTATAGTTAAGCCCTATAGACTTCTTATCCCTCATCTCCAAGATCTCATCTAACATATCAAAACTACTATTTAACATATCAATGTTAGACAAAGGTGACTTATCTAAAGGGGGCTGAATAGGTCTCCAATAAAATTTTCTTTACAAAAACTGTTTTTAAAAACTGATGGCAAGCGGAAGTGAATGGGATCGATTCGCCTAAATCGGACCGCTATCGAAAAGTTCGGATGTGTATATATGAAAAGCAATCAAAGATAATGAAAAGTTACTCAAATAATATGATTCAATCACAATCTCTTAAAGGAAACTCAATAAACAATGCTATATGGCAAGTTATCGAACACCTTCTATGCAATCGGTTTTGTTTGGAAATTTATATTGTTTTGTTGATCTTAAACTCCAACCACAATCTAAAGGATTGTGATCAACTCAACAAAATATTTTTCAAACGGATTTCAAAAGAATTTTCTAAACAAATTTATCGCACAAATGATGAACTCAACAATTTGCAAATGAAATGTAAAAGAGATAGATAGATAGATAGATAGATAGATAGATAGATAGATAGATAGATAGATAGATAGATAGATAGATAGATAGATAGATAGATAGATAGATAGATAGATAGATAGATAGATAGATAGATAGATAGATAGATAGATAGATAGAGAGTACACAAGGATTTGTTTAGGCAGTTCCTCAATCGGCATTACTATGGGTATGTCTGCCCTCAATTTGAATTCTAATTGAGATAGTGAAATTAACATTACTTTGCAAATTGTAGTTTACAAGAGAAATGTAGAAATGCAACCCTACAATCCCTATAATTGATGTTGATCCTAACATTTTCTCTTCCCTTGATCTGAGCTTGATCAAGTCACCCAACACTGGCCAATTTGATTCACCATCTCACGCTACTCATCTGCAAGAACTGCAGCTATTCAAAGCCTTCACTCGGTCGAATCCAAATTGAAAATTATTGTAACCCAAAATTTACCAATTTGATTCACCGTCTCACACTACTCCTTTTCAATAACCGCAACTCTTCAAAGCCTTCACTTGGCTGAATCCAAATATGCATAATCTTGTCCAAAACCTT